CCCCCCCCCCCCCCCCAGCCGTCTGAAGGCTGAATCATGAGATCAATATCTGATTCATCAGCCTCCTCTCAGCTGTGGGCAGCGCCTGGGAGGTGTTGTTGCAGACATCTGGGGGGGTGGAGGGGAGGGAGGGAATGAGGGAGGTGGGGGGGGGGAGACGACTGGGATAAATCTATACCAACAATAGCATCGTCTTTTTATTTATTTATTTAGTCCATCGATTATGCCCGGGGCTGATGATGAGGAAAATGGAAGCTATTGTTGGGGCTCCGCACAAACACGGGAGGCAGATCGGAACGCCTCAGCTGTAAATAGACGGCACCCCCCCCCACCCATAACCCCCCCCCCAACCCCCCAACCCCCCCTTCTCTCTCTCCGAGCCTCGCATGCGACTTGCGTTCTTCAGGAAAAAAAAAGAACATAGCTCAATTTTCTGAGGAGATCTTTAAGGGGGGGGAAAAGAGAGGGGGGGATTCAAGAAAAACGAAGACAAACCTCCCTCACCGACTCCGCTGACATTTTTTTTTGTGTTTGTTTTGTTTTTGTTTACAAGAAGACAGCCGCATTGACACCCCTCGAGGTACCGCAGCGCCCAATGAAACCCGGGCAGCCCGACCCACCGTCCAGAGCTCCGGTTCTCCGGTGCTCCGGGGCTCCCGCTATACGGCGCGTTTGGAGGTTACGTAAGGTGAATGAGCGCGTGCTCGCCTCCCATTGATCTCCAACGGACGATGCCGGCTGGCGCGAGCGTCCGGTCGCGCCTTCTGGTATTTTTTTTTTTTAGAAAATTATATTTTTTTTATAAAAGATTTCTTTATGAAAATATGTCCACCCCCAAAATTCCTCCCCCCCCCCCCCCCCCCCCCCCCCTACCCAAATTCAGAGGGACCACGGCAGCTGACGCCTGCTGGATGTCATATCGCGGTAACAAAAGATGCGTTGGGTTAAATATCGTTTCCATGCCGTAAGCCCTGAGCGATTCCCCCCTCTCTCTCTCTCTCTCTCTCTTTCTCCCTCTCTCTTTCTCGTCGTTGTGCCGTCAAAGTATTTAGAAGAAACACAACCAAAGTGATGCGCGGAGAGGAAGAGGGAGGAAGGAGAAGGAAAAAAAACCCCGACACTCACCCCTTCTTTGTGGTTTATTGTCCTGTCAAGCGGGCCTCTGCGCCATCGATTCTCACTCAGTGGTCTTTTCAGATGCTAAAAGGAGGAGAGGGGGCGGCGGTGTTGGAGGGGGTGGTGGATGGGGTAGAGTAGGGTAGGGTGGGATGGATATGGGGGAGGAGGAGGAGGAGGGGTGCGGAGGGGAGGGTTGGGGAGAGGGGTGGTGGTGGTGGTGGGGGGGGGGCACCGGAGTGGGTGTGAGAAACAGGCTGCGATCACAACACAAAGGTGGGAAAAAAAATAGAAGAAAAACATAGTCCGGAGGAGAGACGAGGACCTCCAGCTTCCGCAGCGAGACCGCTGGAGGAGCCAGGCCGCCTCCCGAGCCCCGCGGGCCGGCTTCACACTCCTCTGCGATCCGGTCAGGAAGCACAGATGTTTTTTTTGTTTATTTATGTTTTGTTTTTTGAGTAGTTTCCTTTTCCTCAACCTTTGATTGATTTTCTTTTTGTGTTCACTTAGTTCGTGAAATTGGAAATGCATTCCCAGGCAGTTAGAATGGAAAAAAGAAAATCAATATTTCCACAGGCACCTGGGCCATTTGTTACTGTGCCAAAAAATAGGAGAGAATTCCACGTGTAATTTGAGAAAATACTGTAGAACAGTTCAGCAAAGAAGATCCAAGGGAAGGAAATTGATCATTGGATATGGATAACGCAGGAAAAAGTGTGGAGAAATGTACTCACTTTTATACAGTGACACAATAGAAAACAACAAAGGTCCTAAAAAAACAAAGTACATCAGATCAAGTATTAAAACCCCTTCTGCGAAGTAAAGACTTAGCTTGATTGATGTTTCAAAAGGCATCCATAGACTTTCATCTTTTAAAATACTACCTCCACATATTTATACCGTTTAACAGCCACTCGCTATTGTATGTCCCAAGAAATTGATCAGTTTTCTGAGGATTTCTGATCAGCTGCACAGTTACCTTGTAATGGCATGAGAGCAATAAGTTAGAGAAAGAATGGATGGGGTTGTTACAGTCTGAAAGGCTAATCATTTTCAAAAGCAGCACCTTTTGGCGGTCAGGAGCAAGAGGAAGATTTTTCAAAGACATGCAAAAGGATGTGACAAAGACAAGGAAAAATCTAAAGAAAAGAGAGATTTAAACTGTAAACTTTAAGTTGGCACCAGAAAGATAGACTTAATTAGCCTTGTATAAAGTATGATTCTTTTTATTTTTTCAAATATACAAGCAAATCAAAAAACAAACCAAAAACTATAGGGGAAAGAGGAAAAGTCAGGAAATGAATGTAAAGGTCACAAAACAAAAGGGGAGAAAAAACGGAGACCGCATTCGCAGATTTGTATTCAGCCAGACTCTTTATTAAAACATCAAACATGAAAATACAAAATCCACCTCCCTGTGAGAAAAGAACATCAAAAACCCCTTGAGACAAGATGCGCACGTCTCTCCGACCTGCGCGGCAGCTTCACTTGGCGGCCTGCTGGGCCTGGCGGCGAAGCAGCACGTAGATCTTCTCTTTGATCCAGTCCTTGTTGTACGGCTGGTACGTCTGCGTGTCGGCGCGATACCTGAAAAAGCAACAAAAAAAAAACACCGTCAATCACCCTCGAGTTTGCCCGGACCTCACAGATTAAAGAAGAAATGTAATGCTCTTAATGGAAAACCTGAGTTTCTTATTCCTATTGAGGACAAAAAGAAGCCCGACCGGATAAGTCAGTTTTGTTAACTGCGCTTGCTTCAACCTCACGCTTAAAAGCAGAAAGGGCCTCTTCACAATAAACTGACTGGGGCTTCAGGGCCAGTGGAATGCTGGACTATTCTGGACCTTTACAAGGTAGATTTATTCCTCAGGACTAAGTTGTTACAACAAGTCTGGTTACAAAACTGCTGAAAATACCTCTGCTGGGGTGATGTAAATGTTAGATCCGTGTTTTGGTGGCAAGCCGCGTCGCTCAGAGTCATAATGTAACTATCCCTGAAATAATGACGCTGAAAGAAGAGGAAACGGTCCCTTTTGTGGCTAACCTCCTCACAGGTGGATGGCTCTCAGAGCGTGTGGTCAATAACCTGATCTCAGCTAAGATTTAGCGTGTATACCACCTCACACAGCCAGACTTGTAGGATACAACACAATCGCAAAAGTTGTGTTGTTTTTTTTTTTGGGTCTTTTCAAACTTACACCAAACAACTGAGGTCGGCCAGGTCGTCGATGAAGTCAAACAGCTGGCTGATGTCATACGTAATGGACGGACTGTTGGGGTTCATTCTCTTCAAATGCTCCTCGTACATCTTACACACGCCTGGGCAGGGGGATAGAAGGGCAGATGGTTGGAACCTTTGCAAAAATACGATGCACAGGGAGATCCCAATATGCTGTGGAACTGTGCATTTTTCCACGCTAAGAAATTTGTCCAATTGTGTGGTCAGGAGGTGAATAGGTCAAGCTAGATTGGAAAACTTTTACAGGTTTAGTGGTTCCAGAGTGATTGGATAATGTCTTGGCAGATACAGGTAAAAGAGGCACGTAAGTCACAAAGGAGTAGAATAATTTAATTTAATCTCCTGACATCCAGACCAGCCTATCATGGAAGCACCTAAAGAGAAATGTGTAAATGTGCAGGTTGCTAAAAACTATAACTACTGTAATATAGGCCCCATTTGAATGTGTAGGTAACCCCAGAATTTTTGCTTCAATGGATACAACGTGCAAAGCCCCCATTAACTTACCCTCCATACATTCGTTGACCGATTCATAGTCAGCATATGTCCGACCCTCTGGCCTCTTTGTGGGCTGCACAAGTAGGATGGTGTGAGACTGGAAAACAAAGAAATGTATATTTTAATTCCTTACTGAAACGTTAATCTAATTCAGCCAAAGTAATATATGTCAACTGCGTGATATTACAGTACAAAATAGTTTTGCTCCCAATTTTTTAGGGACTTATCCCTAACAGTTTTAAGTGTTCTATTTATGATATAAAAATGACTTTTGGAGTACGGTCAAATATCAATTCATTTAGCCACTTTCTGTCTTAATTACTGTGCTGTTATCTTTATTCGCAGCTTTACCCTGTTACGATTGTCTACTATAGTAATGGGGAAATAAATAGTTTTTTCATCAAACTTAGCAAAATGTGAAAATTTCCCCTTTTTTTCCCAGCGAAGCCTTTGATTTATACAGGCAAAAACAAGACACATCACTGCATGGTATCCGTTTACCTTGATAAGGAAAGCGAAATTTCACTGAGGGTAAACGGCTAATAAAAGGGTAAATTACTCTCCACGCAGAGTCAGTTTAACAATGAAATATGTATTTTTTTACTACTCCGTCCCAGCTGCTAAAGTGCTAAATGTGCCATACATTCTTAACTATCGTTAGCAGAGAGATATCTTTATCTTTAACAGCATCTACAAAATGAAAATCACAGTATAAAACGGAGGTAATCAAAGTGATATGCTTTACATCTCGTATTAAAAATTACATACCATGCTTTTTGTGTTTCTGAAGTAGCTCTGTGGCGAATTTCTGGTACCTTTGCTAGCTCTCAGCAAGTTGACCTTTGTCACCGGAAGAACAACGAGCCGGGAAAAAAACGAAGGCTTTTATATCTAATATTGAATTTGATTTATTTTTATATAGTCTCTAAGCTTAACTCTACCATAGACACATACAGTTTAAAAAAGGTATTTATCAATAATATGTTTAAACCAGCGTTGACATAGCACTCTAGCTCAACATCCACATACGAATATAAAAACACTCCCAACAAATCTTGGAGACCCTTAAACGCTCGACGGCTCCGTGCGAACAGGAAGTAATTAACATCAACATCCGGATGTTCCGTGGGGACACAGGAACAACAAAAAAGTGGACAGAGTGCCCGGGTTTAAAATCTTGCTTGGGAACATAGTATTTAAGAATTGTCGTTGTAGGTGAGTGTAGTTCTTTCTGGAACGCTCCTCGACAACTATATGTGATTTTAGTTCCACGGACTACACAGTAGCGTTAGCCGCCCGACGCGACCGTCGCTTGCCGTGCCGTAACACTGGCTAACGTTAACAAGCCTTTGTGGCCATTCTCTAAAGATGAAACAGACGTGGACGTTTTTATGTAGAGTTACACCATTAGCGCCATTGGCTCATGTATACACGCCGTGTTATGCCAATAAAAGCTGAAATGCTAACTTGCCGGAGCCCATCAAATATTAAGCGGTTAGGTTTTCTGGGTGTGTAATTGGTTCCGTGCCCGTTGCGCCCCCGTGCATTCTATGGATAAGTGGTAATCGCTATAGATTTTTAAAAAATGATTATATGAAAAAAGCTTTATTTGTGATGAATGAAAAGTACTTTGAAACGTATAAGAAAATATCACCCTAGATGATGTACCGGTGAACGTCAGTTGAAGACTTACATATTTGAAAATTAATAAATTTAATCGGCCAGCAATCTACATAATACACCACACTATTCCTCTTCACACCCTGAAATGCCTGTAATGCTGTTTATGCTATACCGTAACTATATTTGCTTCTAACCCCGCAGGCATAAGACTGTCTTGTGATCGCTCTTATTCTAGGGTGAAAGAGTTTGGTTTGCATGTGAGGACAAATCCACCAGGCCAACCATGGCGAACAGTACAGAGGATATGGAAAGCAATATGGTCAGTAAGAGCGTGAGTTTCTGATGACTAAGGCTGTATGTGTAAATGTGTGTCACTGCATTGGGTAATAATTACCCAACAATTCTGACTGTGGGCAAGCCAATGTTTCTGTGACGAGGAACTGATGAAAGAGATGTCTGTTCCCCGGTTAGTTTCTGGTGTTATGGAAATGAGCCTTCCACCTGCTTGGGTTTCTATTACCTTACTATAAGAAATAACCCTGATGTGCTGGATAGTTTGAAAAGAAATAATGCTGGTTTTCTGTACCCCCAGCAAACTACCGCTACCTGGCTGGGCTACAGCAGAGCCATTATACTTTGAACCTCTAAAGTAGTGACGTCAAGAAGATTAATGCTATGTTTATGCTCTCCAGTTTGTTTTTACTGTAAATAAGATCCTCCCTCCACAACTGATAGAAGCAAGTCAAAGTCTCTGTTTACTGCCAGAGACACTTGCAGTGTGCCACTCAGAGAGCCCATCGACACGCTAAGGCACCAATCAGATTCATTCATCTTTCTCCGTGGCAGATTGCTTCATCACCTCACCACCACTAGTCTTTACTTGTCCTACCGTCTGAAAGTTTTGGTTGCCAGCCTCCTTGATTTGAATCTTTACTTTCCCCTGATGGGACGGATCGCCTCTGTTGTCATTTTTATGTAACCAGTGTGCCAGTTATGTATCATCTTGCTCCTGAGAAACAGGAAACTGGACTTTTAGTGGTAAAATTGTTAAACATTGAGATCCTGTACCTCTAAATAAAATAAAAAAGAGAAAAGTAGTAGAGTAGGCCTCTGGGTGGGGAGGGGGGAAAAACCAGAAAGACATCCAGCTTTACGAGGTTTAGCAGTGAGGTTGTTGTTGTTTTTTACATTTGTAGCAGTCTAAAATCTGCCTAACCCTTTAACGGATTTAACCCAAATTCATGTGGCCAATCAGCGCTTTTGAAACATCTTGTTTCCTGTGACTTTGATTTGACGTGTAAAAGCGCGTACATTATGTGTTTATATTCTTTACAGTAGTAAAGAGATGTTGTTTTGACCGATGGGAAAACAAGGCTGTGTCAGCATACTAGCATCAGCTTTTGTTTGTTAGTCCATTAGCTTTCCCCCCACAGGTTTTTCCTATAAGCCACAGTTTTCATTCCTGTAAGAGACCTTCCCTACAGTAACTTCTGAAAGCTTCAGAAAACACCTTCAGAAACAGCTTTTTCTTTAAACGACCCGTTTCGACAAAATAACATGTGACGTCCTCTCCTCCGGACAGGACCAGCAGCAGGCCGGCACGGGCCCAGAGCCCTCCCAGCAACGGCAGGAGAGCGCCGCCCCCAGAGTGCGATCCAGAGGGGGCTCGGGGGCCGGGGGAGGGAACGGCGGCTGCGGGGGCAACGGCAGCGGCCCCGAGCAGAACGGTCAGCCCCCCGCCCCGCGCCCGCCGCTCGTGGTGGACGCCGAGGAGGACGAGGACGAGGAGCTGACCCTGAAATACGGCGCCAAGCACGTCATCATGCTCTTCGTTCCCGTGACGCTCTGCATGGTGGTCGTCGTGGCAACCATAAAGTCGGTCAGCTTCTACACCAAGAACGACGGCCAGAGACTGTGAGTGTTACGACCCTGCCGAGTCTGAGGGAGAGAGAAAGGGAAGTAGTGTGGGTAACCCGTCCTCTGATCAGAACTCAGTATGCAGAGGAATCCCTTTTTTCTTTTGGAATGATGGAGGTTTCTAACTTTGTGAAATGGGCTGAAAGAATCTGAAACTCGGGGACCTTATTAGATGACAGGAGAGATTGTTTTGTCCAACCAGTCCTTAAAACTGCGACGTTTAAAGCGACTCAGGGGTGCTTTAGTTTATTAACGGAAAAGCACCCCGTGGCTCTTTTGCCGGGTATATTTGGGATATTTGCAGGTTCACCTACTTCACAGCCAAGTGTGGTTGGTTTATTATTCCAGTCCTTTCTTCTTTTCCCCAGACCACATGAATTCCTCCTGCCTATTCTCTCTTTTAAAAAAAGTTATTTGATCATATCACGTGTTTGAATGACATGCAATGAAGCAGCATCACCACTAGGTGGAGCCTAGACCTGTATGAATGTGCATAAACGTACCATCATCAGAAGCCTCTAAGGTTTAGGGCACTTGAATATTTCTATTACCGTATTTTCCGATTATAAGGCGCACCTTAAATGAATGGCCTATTTTTAAAAAAAAATTATATATAAGGCTCATAGAATAGAAGCTACAGTAGTGGCTAGGGTTGTGTTATGCATCTATTAGATGCAGTTGCGCTGAAGGGAGTGTCAACAAAACAGTGAGATAAGTCCATCAAACTTTATTAATAGAATACAAACCAGCGTTCTGACAACTCCGTTCACTCCCACAAAGCTGCTGCTCTATTTCCATGTTCTGCTGCGTGGCTGATGGCTTCAAGTTTAAACTCTGCGTTGTAAGCACGTCTCTTGAGAGGAGCCATTTTGGGTTCTTTACACACACACAAATGGAAATGATCCATTTCCATCCATGGTCATATATCCCAGCACGTACCGAGCGTTGCTTTTAGGTGCGGACATAACGGTATCTCCTTTTTGCTCTTTTTCTAGCGCCTGATGTGTTAACATGTGCTGGTAATATCCTCCTTTCTAGGATCTACACACCGTTCCCAGAAGACACAGACACGGTAGCACAGAGAGCAGTCAACTCCATCCTGAACGCCACCATCATGATCACCGTGATCATCGTCATGACTCTGGTGCTGGTGCTGTTGTACAAGTATCGCTGCTACAAGGTGAGAGACCAACCATCAGCCCATTTTCACTGTAATTGGAACACGGCTGCAGTCGAAAGCATCCATTTCTGGTGGCTTTCCATTCATACGCCAATCTGTACTCCGCGGTTTTGTTGACGGTGGAGACTGGCGCTTAAATGGAGAAGTAGATTTAAATGATAATAAAAAAATCTATAAACAGGAGACCAGATTAAATGAAAATGGGTGCGCTTCCTCCTCTGTGGAGCCGTGCAGATAAGAGGAATTTAAATAACCAGAAGAACAGGCTTTCACTGTTCTGTTTGGGGGAATAACCCATTTACATTCCTTTTTTTTTTTTTCTTTCAAAGTGCTAATCCGGAACCGGGTCACAACAGTAAAAGTCTGAGCTGTGATACCCCAGGGTTCCTCTCCCCCAGCCAACTCTTTGAGGGGTGCACATACACAGTCACAAAATTGAATCGGCCCAGTGGATTTGAAAAGAGTCTGCCGGCCTCCCCCTTATGGGAAACGCCACCTAGGTGGAAGAGGCTCTCCACCCAGCGTCCGGCACTCGAGGCTTTTCCATCCAAAAGCACCACCAGCACCATCAGATTCCAATTTCTTGACAACCCTTTGACGGTGCCGGGTCATCGATGAAAAGATAGCTTTAAAGGGCAAACCGGAATGAATGAGCAGGGTGATGAGTAACAGTTATTTAACAACTGTAACGTCAGACCTCATCAGTGAAGTCACCTATTGTTCCATCTCAGCTCCCACTATTGAAATGACCCCATTAATTCTTGGTTTCATTCTCCGGTGAGAGCTTTCAGGCTAATGGGAACTAAAGGCTGCCAGAGCAGTACATCAGTGACTCTGCTCTTTGCTTTCTCAGGTGATCCAAGGCTGGCTCTTCCTCTCCTCCCTCCTCTTGCTCTTCTTCTTCTCCTACATCTACCTCAAGTAAGCCAAACACTCCCCGAACAATTTCCGGTCGGGTTTTTTAAATTATTTTATCCAAGGCGGCAAAAAAACATTTCCACCTCTGCCCTCCCCACAGAGAGGTTTTCAAGACCTACAACGTGGCCATGGATTACTTCACCCTGGCGATAATCATTTGGAATTTCGGGGTGGTGGGAATGATGTGCATTCACTGGAAGGGACCTCTGCGGCTCCAGCAGGCCTACCTCATCATGATCAGCGCCCTGATGGCGCTGGTCTTCATCAAGTACCTGCCAGAGTGGACCGCCTGGCTCATATTAGCCGTCATATCTGTTTACGGTAAAAAAAACCCACATTCCACTTTCTGACCTCCAGGAGTCTCCCCCCCCCACCTCCGACCTTTGAAGATGTTTTCTGACCTGTCATCTGGTTCCCTTTAGCACTTGATAAGAGAATGTCAACACAAAATTTGGATATCTTTTGCACCATTTTAGACATCTTTAACCCCTTAATGACAGCTAAAAAGATATCTGAGGGATGTGTCTATAGACCATAAATATTAACACATTTAAAAAAAAAATCCAAACTGGACTGATGAGTTTGTGGATTTGAATTTGCTTTACTGGCCAAATGGATTGTGTTAAATTGTTTGACTTAGTGTTGAGATGGTGAACCAGTGGCACTCTTTTCTTTAAAGGAGGAAGGGAACCCTTAGAAGAGCATAGTTTTGGGTGTCTGGAGCCTGCTGCTATCACAAATGTCAGGACTGAAAGCCCGTGCTCGGAGGCTGAGGTGACTTATCCCACTTGTCTGTCTCCTTTCATCTCCCAGATCTGCTGGCGGTGCTCTGTCCCAAAGGGCCCCTGAGGATCCTCGTTGAGACGGCCCAGGAGAGAAATGAACCCATTTTCCCGGCTCTCATCTACTCCTGTAAGATGGACACTGGTCCCAGAACCAGAAAACATTATGTTGAAGCCCAGTTTGAACTCTGCAAAGGATTCAGTTACAAGTAGAAAAAAATAGTTTTGATTAAGAGACGGAATTCAGATCTCCCCTCATGCACCAAACGGTCCGTCAAACCAGCTGACACTTTAAGTCATGTCATCTTTTTCACCTGATCCTGGAATCCGCTGTGATATTTTAACTGGAGCTTTGCTCTGTGAATCTGAAAAATGCTTTTACAGATCCCCAAACTTAAAACTGAAGTGTGTTTTAAAAGCTTAAAAAGACTCATGTGACATATTCCTATTCAGTTTCTCTATTTATTTGTTATATTTATGCAGTTTTTGGAGAAATTGAGCATCACTCCTCTTGTGTTTTTTGTCTCCAACCCCTCCCCAGCTACCATGGTGTGGCTTGTCAACATGGCAGACACCGAACGGCCAAAGAGGAACTCCGCAGAGGCGGATTTGCCTCAACCAGAGGCTCAAGAAGGTGAGTTTGGACTCCAAAGCATGTTGAATTACACTCCTAAATGTGCCCCCGTCCCCTGACCCGGTTGGCGTGGCTCATCAGCAGCGGCGGCGGTGGCGTCCCCGGCGCCCTCGAGCCTGTCCCAGGACGACGGGGGCTTCACCTCGTCCTGGGTCAGCCAGCAGCAGCACCAGCTGGGGCCCCTGCAGACCACAGAGGACACCAGGCGGGAGATCCAGCAGATGCCCACCACCCGCCCCCCCGTGGAAGACGACGACGACGAGGAACGTGAGTGGCGTGTTTTAAATGTTCTTTTTTTTAAAATTAGAAATCAGAACCCAGTAAAACGGCGATCGTGTCAGGGGTATACAGGCAGAAATTTGTCATTAGAACCATTGGGATAGAGCCACAAGAGATACAAAAGAAAGAGGAAGTGCCTCTGAAGAGGCCCAATATTTTTGGAAATGAGCAGCACAGAGCAGAGGGTCCGTCAGGCGTGTTATCGGTGTTCAGTTCAAAGGCTGCAGCTCCATCATTGCCTGCCGAACAGGCAGCTTCCATACATGGAAAGGCTCCGTCAATACCTGCGATTCACACAGGCCCCAGGTTTAAAACTTGAAAAGTTGAAATGTTCCTTTTTCTTGCTCTTAAAACTGAGTCATACCATCACATTTTGACCTTTTTGAGGCTAACCCCCTTCCTCAACCCTAATATGAGGCTGGGCTCTATAATTCCAACTCATTAACATATTTTGACTCTCTGCCTCCTCTCAGTGTGTAATCATCTTCTTTCAGTTCTTTTCTCCCTGAGCGCAATTTAGGAATGTTCCTACATATGTGTGTGTGCTCCTGTTTTTAGTCGGCGCCCATTAGGAAGCAGTTATTCACGGCAATTGCTGGGTTCCGTGTCGGCACCATTCGGGGTGCCTGGCTCTGTAAGCGCGGGCCCACAGGTCTCGCTCTCACTCAGTAATTACAGCGAGGGGCAGAGCTGGAAAAGGGAGTCTGAGCGGACCACACCCTGAATGCGGTGACCTCCTGTGTTCTCAGGGGGCGTGAAGCTGGGGCTGGGAGACTTCATCTTCTACAGCATGCTGGTGGGGAAGGCCTCGGCCGCGGCCAGCGGCGACTGGAACACCACACTGGCCTGCTTCGTGGCCATCCTCATTGTGAGTGAGCACTTGCTTATTTTCAGGCCTCCGCGGCGCAACATCTAACCTCACGTTATGGAAAAAAAACGGGAAAAAAACTGTTTTAACGACCTGTTCCAGATTAGCTCGTCGGGAACAGAATCCTAATCACGCCGTGTCCTGCCTTGTCTGGTTTCCCCTTCTCGCCGGCAGGGCCTGTGTCTGACCCTGCTCCTCCTCGCCATCTTCAAGAAGGCGCTGCCCGCGCTGCCCATCTCCATTTTTTTCGGCCTGGTCTTCTACTTCGCCACCGACAACCTGGTGCGGCCCTTCATGGACAAGCTGGCACTGCACCAGTTCTACATTTAGCGGGTCGCCGACCACCCCCCCCCCTCCCCGCCGCCTCCCGCACGGCCCCAGAGCGCTCCTACAGAGGACGACGCAGCACCCCCCCCCACACACACACACACACCTCCACCCGCCCGCTCACCTCCGGACCTCCAGAGCTCACAATGCCGGGGCCTAAGTTGTTTGTTGCTTAGCCTCTCTTTTTCTCGAGCCAAGAACAGGGCCCCCGCCCCTCTCCATTCCCCTGATCGGCTACAGCTGTTCTTACATGTTTTTATTTCACTTTCACGCCAACAAGTGAAACGCGCCTCCCCCTCCGGTTGACCTCGGCCCCATCGATCGGCCCCGGGGCCACAGCGGGCGCCTCGCTCAGGGACGCCGAGGCGGTAGCCAAGCCCCCAGGGAACAACCCAAGCGGCCCGTAAATAAAAAGTTTGATCACGTTCGAGATGTCAGCCACCAGGGCGAGCGTTTCCTTTCCTTTCCTGTCCGCTTCTTTCAAATTCAAAGAGCAAAAGCGTGGTCCCCCCCCCCCGCTGACGTCAAGCGTCGAGGCGTATCCTCTGTGGCGTCCAGTCGGCAGTTTTCCTACCCAGCGCCACCACGCCAGAGAGGGAGGAAAGGACAGACGGCGACTACTAGCCAGCATGTCCGCTGGAGGTCCAGTGCCTTGCTGAAGGGCGCTTCAGTAGCTGTGGTCACTGCGTGACAAAGGTTCATCCATGCACTGTTTAAGCCCTCAGGGGTCAGAGCCCAAGCCAGTGGGTGTGGTGTTTTCAAATTATTATTATTTTTTTCTGTTTTTTTTTTGTTTTTTTTCCATTTCCTCTCAATCTGTCCAAGGATTGTAACTTGTGGTCATCTGGTCACGGACTCTGAACCTTTAGGCTGCAGCTGCCCTCACGACGCCCGCCTGGTGCTGTTTGGAACTATGCGACATTAAACCACACACAGACTCGCTCCCCCCCCATCCCCCCCCCTCTCTTTTGTTTCCCAAAATATGCTGACGTGACACTTTTTGGACGTCAGCAGCAGCGGCCGCCCGAAGACGCCGAAAACTCTTTTGGAATGGTTTGCAGTTGTTTTAACGCGGGAATAGATGCAGTTTCATTTGATCATTTGGAATTGTTCAAAAACCTTTTTGGGATGAAGCTCGTCGAGCATCGTTAGCTTAACCGACCGTTTTAATGCTATTTGAATTTAAAAAAGAGAAAGAAACTTTGTGAGCGAAATGGGAAAAGATTGCCTGAAAGAGGACCAGCTGCGCTGATCGCTTTTCTGTCGTCACGTTCGAGTTTCACGCTTGCAGAGGAAAAAGTGCTCCAGAGGGAACGTTGTAGTGGTATTCGTTTTAAGGCTGCTTTTTTTTTTCTTCTTTACTTTTTAAAGGAAGATGTTTGGTGTTTTTTTTGTTTTTTTTTTTCATTTTTCCCCGTCCTTAACAAGAATATGTGTGTTATGCAAACTGATTTTGACTGAGATAATGTTCTTTTTTTGAATAATAAAAAAAAGAAAATAGCTTCTTTTTAAAAAAAAAAATCTGACTTGAAGTTTGTCATTAAAAATGGAGCTGAATTTCTACCTTTGCATTGGTTAGGTTGAATAGTTTTTTTTTGTTTTTTTATGCTAAAGCTCCGCAGCGTCAGAAAACTATTAAATTAAGTTTGAAACCTTGTGGCCAGAGTAACAGGAAGCGTGCAAGCAACATCACAAACTTCAAATTTTCTTTTTAAAAATCGTGCCTTTGACACATATTTACAACTTTTGTACCCAGTTAAAATTTGCCTCTAAAAAACTAACAAAAAAAGGTGATATCTACAGATATATTTTGTGGAAAAAACACCCGCCAGCTTCCTATTAAATCGCACTATATACAGGATATGCAAAGATAAACGGCGCTCATTTTGGTTGCAGTCACTGCACGGCAACACTTTAAATACTTCTGTTTCACCTGCACCGAAAGGTCAAAGGTCAGGATAAATAACAGCTCAGAGGGCGGTTTTTAAGACATTTGTCAGCGTTTGCGTACGCCGCCGTCTTTCCAGCTGGAACCCGTGCGCTCGCCGGCCAGCCCTCGAGCGGGCGGTGGGAAAATTGCGGGAATTCCTTGGCGTGCCGGACGGCAGCGTCGTGGCCCGGTTGCCAGCTGGCCCAGGGGAGCCCGCTGGCCGTCGGCCGGGAGCATTAGCCGTCGCCATGGGGACCCTTTTGGCCCGGACGGCGTGGCAGTTTCCCCAAAATGTTCAGCCTCACGCTGTGACTTACCTAACCAGCCCCCCCCCCCTCCCTGCGAGGCCTCATTCGGCCATCGAACAGCTTTGGAGTTAATTCCTTAAGACTCGCTTGTATTCCAGACACCTGTTCTGTTGGGATTAAGTTGCAACGAGGACTTGAAACTGTCTGGGCCCCCTTACCCCATCGTGACCCACCCCCCGGGGAATAAACGCCCAATCTTATTCCCCTATTCGGTTTCCCTTTATTAGGGCTTCCTCTAAGTCCTCAATCATTTCTGGGTCGGCCAACAGATCCACATCACTCCCGTCAGCCGGATCCAGGACACCGTCATGCTTCCCCGTGTTTGAACTGGGATTCTCTGGGAGCTCCGGAGGAATTTTCATTGTTTGTTTGTTGTTCTCTGCAGACAAATAAAAAAAAAAAACCAAAACAAACTGTGAGCTCCGAGCGTACAGCGAGAAGCGGGGGGACGAAGAAAAGGCCTCTGTTCAAACGGCGAGCGGAAAAAGCGGCCACCGGAGGCGGACGTCACTTTTTCTTCTTAGGCTCTTAAGCTGGTTTGCTGACCACAGGGTGGACCCGGGTGACCTGCCAATCACGTTTAGCCCCCGCACGGAGCGGACCGGGGACGCTGTAGCTTTGTGTAACACCTGAGAGCGGTACAGGTTTCCAGGGATAACTCCGCTAAGGGGATTAGCGAGCAGGGAGGGGACGGCCGCTCCATGTGAGATGAGCAAGAAAGTGAGGATTAGACTTCCTCCTAACACTCCAGACGGGCAACTAAACAGCCGAGGAGATACATATATATATATATATAAAAACAACAAACGCATAAATCGAAGCCACCTGAGGTGATTCGGTTTTGAATTGAGATGTCTAAGGACAAGCTGGAGGGCCTGGTGAAGCGCATGGAGGAGACGCTGGCGGAGATGGAGCAGCTGAAGCTGCAGTGCGGCCGGCAGAGCGAGGAGCTGAGCCAGCTGGTGGTGGAGCTGCGCCGCGAGAACCAGGAGCTGGTGGAGAAGTACGGCCAGCTCACGGCCGACATGAAGGAGGCCAAGGAGGTCATCGAGCAGCTGCAGGACACCAAGTACGCCTTCAACGCCAAGGAGCGGCAGGCGCAGAAGCTCAGCCGGCAGCTCTGAGGGGGCCAGAGGAGAAACCCAAAGTGGACACAAAGCAAGAAAAAAAAAGGGAAAACGACACGTTGCGGGAGATTTTTTTTTTTTTAGGACTGGGTGGGCATGTAGGCTAAACCAGCCACAGTTGTTTATACCCAAACCTATAGATTCTTTTTTTTTTCTATGTGGAGGAATGTATGTAAAGCTCAGTAATTTAAATGTAACTTAAACCTTGCGGCTTAGAGCTCCTTTTTAAAGCCACGTCTAGAGTTAATAACTAGGAGCCGAAAGTAAAGGTCTCTGTGAAATGTGGATGTGGAAAAAATGGAATCTGTTTGAAAAGCATAAGGTATTGTGCTCATTAGGCTCCTGTAATTAAAACAACACTCTTGTAACTGGGATGCTAAAAGCCCCGTAAAGATTTTTTATTGAATCACAGCCTGGATGTGTTTCTTGAAGTGGGTGGTCATCTATTTTTGGCCTTTGCTAAGTCAAAGGCTAAAAATGCCTGATCCTGTACACCCAGAATTGTCAGGTTTGATTTTGTTTGAGGCCTCTGGAAAAAAAAGAAGGCAAAAATGCAGTTTTTTTTTTTTGTATTTGATTTATTTAATCATTCCTAAACTCTGTATATCATCAGTTAAACTGAGAATCACTTGTGTCCCCCTCTGTGGTGTTCATGAACCACATAAAAAATGTATCAAACAGATCTTAAATAATTTTCCGTGTGCTTTTTCTTTTCCTTGCCCGTTAATATGGCTGTTTTGGTATAGAGGCAAATGTACAAAGATGCATGGCCTAAAGCAAATCAGATACTGCTCCTCGGCTTCTTGAAACACTGCGTTCAGAGCCCTGGCTTTTCCTCGCACACTCAGTGACATCACAGCGTCACACAGCCGGGTCACGCCCCACAAAATGTTGGCATGAGCCAAACAAAGAGTGAGAGCCGAGCAGGGGGGAGTCGGCCTTAAAAGGAAAACGGAAAATGTATGTTTCCAGTATTTTACATATTATATTGAAATTTTAAAAAAAAGTTTTTAAAAACTATATATTGCTAACTATTTTAACTATACATAATCTTTTTTTGAAGCAGTTCTGTTACAGCTGTGCAGAAACTATAAACTGCAGCCTCATGTTGGGTTATTTAGAATGATCTAACCCACAAATGATATCATTCTGTACTGTTTCAGTGAATTAAGTTTCATTGGACATGCATGGAAAAGTTGCTTTTTCCTTAATCTCTACTAAATTAGGTATCAAATAAGATTTTTATCACAAGCCTGATAGTTCTTTTAAAAAAAGTATTATAAATAAAACAAGCTCCTAGCGTAAAAAATCTTTATCTTCCATCTGTTTCAGCCTAAATCCAGACTCTTTAGATTCAATCCCTGTCTTATGTGTGTTAACACATAATAAGATCAGTTAATAACTTATAGTGGGGATGAGCATGTGTTCATAAATAAGGCATTGGAATAAAAAAATTGAATAAATAGGGGAAAAATACAAATAAAATTCGGCAATGCATGTAAAATTGTGCAAAATGAGATTTGTTTTATGCAGATTCTACAGCGTTTCACTGCTGGGTGCTGTTTGAAGTGATTTTTGTACCAACGGCTGGTTAAATGTGGGCGGCTCACACACGTCACGCTGTGAGCAGCCAAAACAACCTCTTTCATCAAACACCACTTTGGTGGCATATATCTGGTGTTGAATCTGTTTTTCTTTGGTTTACTGACATGTGAAAGAGGGCTCGGTGAGACCACAGTGGCTCTCCCCGCTGCTTCAGACCCCCCAACCCCCTCAAGATGAATTCCAAACCCAAAAAGTTATGTAAACTTAAACTGTAAAAAGGCTGATGACTTTTTTTCCCCTAACAGCATAATTTTGGATGATTGAGGTGTTTGTTTTCAGAGGTCAGTTAGGATGTTTTAAAAACCTAACCGCTGGAAGAGGGGGGGGGGGCACAAAGAGGAAATTCTTTTTAAGGAAACATACTGGCAGATGTTTAAACATAACACTGCTTATGTGGTTTCCTTGTTATTTTAAAACCCCAAATGATCCCCTTTCTCTGTTTGTTTACATGTAGTTTTGACTTGTTTGGGTTGATATGGTTGTCAGTTTTTTTTTAATTATTCCAAATATTCTGTGTCATCAGTCAGAATAAAACATTTAGAAATAAAAGAAACTCAACTGGTAAATCGTTTAAGTTGTGCCCAAAGTTTTTCAGTGAGGAAAGGTTTTAATTATCACCTGTATTATCAGCTCACCAACTTCAAAAGAACTACATTTGAGGTCACACGCACACATACACACACAAACACAAAATTTACAATTTCACTAAAAGTCTCGTCTTACTAACTTAAATTAAATCAGGAGTTGAAACCCAAAACTGGTTTAAATGAAACTGAGAGTGCTGGTTGAAGAGGACTTTGTGATTTATTGAAAATTAATTGAAAATCCCACTTGTTCTGGTCCCGAAATGCTTAGATAAGTCTCATGTTGTGTCACTTTATTTGACATTGTTGGGTGCCACCAACAATGTTAAATAAAGTGGTTGGGTAATGTTGCATAATTTTATAAAAAGAAAATAAAAAAAGTTTTTTTCTTGTGGTTGATGTGGATGGGTTTTTGTTGTTGTTGTTTTTTTTGTACAAATGGGGCAGAGTTGGCTAACCCAGCCTTCATCTGTGAGGCAGAAATAGTAACGATATGGTCACTCATTCTGTCCCAATAGCTGTGGTAGATGACAATGGCTAGATTTCTTATGGTCTGAGTCATGGATAAAAACTATTTTTGTCCCACAAGACTTGGGTCAGCATGTCCAGGCCTTCCAGGAGCGTCCACATGGAACAGGTGATGTGCAGAAGGTAACGTTGTTTCTTTCATCCTGACATCCTGATCATGTTCCAAATGCAGTCAATATATGAATCCCATCATTCATCATGATTAACTTCTGCTTTAATGTGAATTATGTTTAAGGTGTAACAATAGCTCATAAGGTACTAAATAATCTCACTTTCTTACTGCCTGTATTGATTCCTCATTGGAAAAGTACAAAGATTATCAAATATATTTCTTAGTTTTTTTAATCTTGTGTTCCTTGCATTGATGTTTTTCTTTGGATTTCTAGCTCAGGGAAATGTATTTGTCATCTGAGATGTATCTTTTTTTTTTTTTTTAAGTAACTTAGCTGTTTTTTTACACCCAGTTTAGCAGTTTTTACTAGATTTGATTTGTGTGGGCAAGTTATAAGAATTCATTTGTTGTCTAATTTGTAAACACACACCCACAACGACGTTTTAAGATATTACTTAAGCGTACATGAGAAGTATTTGTGCTCAGAGGGAACAAGAAGTACTTTTGGTGGGAAGGTTTTGGCCACAGGGGGGGGAAAGGTGGTGATGACCACCTCTAAGCTCCGACTATAGGGCTGGACTTGTGTGGTCCCAAAAAATTCCTCCTGAGGTTTTAACTTAGAAAAATTCCCCACAAACCTAATTAGAAGAACTATGGATGCCCTGAGTTCCGGTGGTGTTGGCGCAAAACTCCCTCCAAGAGTCGCAGATATTTCAAAAGTCGTCTTAACTCAGCGGGGGATTCTCCAGATCGGAACAAAACACATCAAACTAAACAGGATCCCTGCTTAGGATTTATGATTGATGCAGGAATATGCAGAGGAAAAGGCACTGGGTAAAGTTTCACATGGAGGCACACTCCAACAACTTGCCTATTTCTGCGTAATGGCCACGTGGAATAAAACTGATCCACTCAATACGCTTTGCCATCTCTGGATCTTTAGATTTCATTCGCTGTGGTGCAAAACTCCACTGGCTCCACAAGTTGACGCAATTTCTCCAACAATCTGGAGTTTAAATGTGTTTCTATCTGCCCTGGAATGAAATGTTCTGCACGCGCCGCACTGCGGTGGAACAGTGATGAAGACCAAAGTGCACAAACTTTTTTTTTTTCTTTCTTTCTAAAACTTCCCCCACAATATGGAAATATGCAAACGCGGATCTTGAAAACAAGTGGACACACACTGTTATTTTTACGGGCTAAAATTACACGGTGGGCGTGAAAGATCCCCATCTCTGTCTGAGGGGGGGGGGGAGACTTTCTCCTCTCCTTGTCGGTTTCCTGTTGGGCGTGAGAGAGACAAACAGAAACAGAGACAGAGGAGGGGTGGGTGGTGGTGGTGGAGGGGGTGACAAAAGGCTTTCCCAGCCAGACAGCCCTCCTCATATATCAGCACGCTGCGTCTCTCCTCAGAACCTCCGGAGGAGCGCAGCTGTCACCAGGAAAGCTGCGTTTTGTTTGGGACTCCTTTAAAGCCACTCAACGCCACGGGGTGAGTGACTTTACACCCGCTTTTAATTCAGGATACGCTGCCTGTCCGGTATATCAGCTGAATTTATGCTCCTAAAACGAGTTTTCTTTTTTGCAAAATGAAGGATTCATGTTTATGCTGAAGAAACGCGCCCTTAAGATGATTTTTTTCTCATTTGAGGTGACTCAAAACCATCACCAGAAGTTAAAAGGTGTCATTTTCAGCATTTGTGCACAGGTCTCAAAGTGGATCAGAAATGTGTGTTTTGCACAATCTGCTTTTAAGATGTCTTAATAGGAGAAAATCATTCCCTCAAGTCACCGCACGCACTGCTGACTGACAGGCAAAATAAATGTGAATTTGGTTTGATGAAAAGCATGAAATGACCCCGGGGTGCTCTAAGGTGTGAGAACAACAACGGTGGTGCAAGAATCTCTCAAAAGCCGGGGCGTTTTTTCAGTCTCTTTTAGAGGCGCGTTAACAAGATTCCCCTCAGATAAAGCAGGTAACGATTCAAGTTTCAGGTCCAGTGTCTCAAATGTGGGCACCTGTGGGCCATGAGTGTGGTCCGGTCAGTCAGTGTCCAGCGGAGCGGCTCAGGGGTGGACGGTCTCTGCAGGTCCAGAAACAACTCTCTCAGTTGTCTGTGTTGGGGGGCAGACAGGATGACTCCCTGTCCTCCCGTTGGCCCGGGGACGGCCATCGCTCCCTGATTCTCCGCTCGTTCACAGTGGGGTCAGCTTCTCCTCCCGGCAGGGGCCACTCTAACTGGTCAGAGGTGGACAGGCAGCTCCGGCAGGGGCCTTTTCCTGTACCAGGAGGAGGCAGGAAGCTCTGCATTTAGCCCACAAAAAAAGAAAAGAAAAGCAAAGAGTCTCTCCAGCATATGAGATTGGGGCTCCAATGAGAATTATTTTAATGGGATTATTTACACACGACGGGATGCCCGTTAGGGAAAAAAATAAAAAAATCTAAAAGCGAAACATAAATATATAATCACAGCATCCACTAACCTGAGTCATGTTTGTCAGATACAGCAATTACTCACCAGCAGCCGAAAAACAAACCGCAGAAGAGGCTGTTTACGGCTTTATAATCAGCGCTGGAAGACTGCTGCAGAAACTGATTTATGGGCTTGGAGAGGTTTGAGGAAATGCTGCAGGGGCAGTGTTCAGAACTCTCAGCCACAACAGTTTTTCTTCCCAGACCTCTTGCAGTCTTTTCTCTCCTGAGCCCGTCTTACATGAGTAAGAGCATCGCCCCTTGTGGTCCAGGCTCCTTCTGGTGACTAACTACTGTTTCTCTGTGTCTTTTTTTGTTTTTTTTTAGGTTTAACGGGGATTTGTGAAGATGCTGCTGCCCCTGATAACTCTTCAGCTCCTTTTGGCTCCGGCCTTCATGGTAAACCAATGAAAAAACACAAAAACTGCAGCCAAAGTCTCTAAGTGACTTTTCTTTCCATGTAAATCCCCCCCCGGTTGGACATTTATATTACTTTGTGCACATAAAGAAGGCTAGGGTAATGAAAACATTAGGGGGCATACGTATTTCAAGATGGGTACAACTGCAACTAGTAAAAATCTGTGACTTATTCTTCTTTCCCGAGAATCCCGTTGGACATGAAATATCACAGAGCAGAGCAGTGCAGCATACATAAGAAAAAGAAGGCAAAAATATTAATTAAATGTTCCCAGTCAGCAATCGTTTTGGGCGGAAAATGAACTGGAGTGGCTACAGTGACGTACTTTGAGCCCCGCGAGGTTCTCGGATAACTAAGATTCAGTTTAGTAGAGGCAGCTTTATAGCTTATATAGTTTGCTAAATTTCTATTTCTTCCCGTCCAGGTGCCAAGCTCAGACTACTGGGACTCGTGGGGCCCGTACGGTCAGTGCAGTCGCAGCTGTGGCGGCGGAGTGACCATGAGGAGCAGACGCTGTATCACACACAGGTAGGTCTGCTGACCGATGCTTTGTCTGCATTTCACACCCTTAGATTTGGTCAGAGAGCCAGTTCAGGGCGGGTTGGAATCGATTGATCTGTAAATTTTGAGCAAGACCTACCACGGTTAAGAAAATGCCGAATTCCTAAAGGTTCTCTCTTTACACAAGCGCGGCGGTTCCTAAGTGGTACTTTTTTTCTCAGGACCAAGCGGTAGTTAGTGCCACCGTAGTGCCAGTTGGCAGACTTAAAATAGTAATGGCCGAGTCTCAAGAGCCAGGAATGGAATCTCTTGGTGTAGAAACAAGCCTCGCCTCATCGTGAAACCCAGATTAAACGCACACGTTTTGTCCCCCCGTGTGCGCACAAAGCTAATGGGGAGGTTCAGGTGCACAGTCTGTATCTCGACGGTGAAAGAACGCCCTGAAGCCGTGGGGATGTGGGCTTGTCTTACATCCAGATCGCTCTGCTGGGAGGGGCCCCCTTGGCACTGAAGAGACTTTTCTTAGTTGGGTGTTGGCTGCCGAAGAGGATCGGCCTGGCAATGGAAATCCATAAGAGCGCCTCCAAAACCAACAAAAGATCAGAGTGTGCTGCGTGAATGTCTTTTTGCTTTTTAGAAGGAGTCATTTTGATAAAGCTGTTTATTCTGGCCCAGTAGACAGGCTCAGGCTGCCAGCTGACTTAGTAAATGTTGTACTCACAGCTGTAATTGCTGGAATCCAGCTGGCATGTTGCCTCATGTAATGCATAAAGTCATCTGTATTTATGATGTGGGAGGTGGTGGGTGTGCTTTTTTTTTTTAAATCTCTTGGAGAAGTAGCTGGGTCCTTTGGGCAAAAGCGCAGGTAACTTAAGGAGAATATGTTCCAGCAGTGAGAAATGTGCTCAGTTTACTGAAGTTAAACTGTAATTTAAGATATTTTTGCCACCAGTCACAAGCTTTTTTATGCTACTACTGGTTAGGAGATAAAAGGAATAAAGGAAGATAATGAAGGTGGAAACATGAGGTCCTCAAACTAAATTTTGTGCTCTAGTTTTAATGTTTTTCTATCACCTTTGTCTTTCATTTAATGTTTCACATCTGATTGAAAAAAAAAGCCTCAAACTGAAATGTGGAGTTCACGCTGACTTCCATCACTATCAAGACAAAGGTGTATGAACTGGAACTTTCCTTTCCGCCTCTGTTGCTGAGAAACGGACGCCACGGTTGTCCGGAGTTTACGAAAAGGGCTCTATTTGGATCTCTCTCTAAACTCATCAAATGAATAAGGCCATGTTAAAGTTGGGGAAATATTGCTCAAAGACTTTGCCCCTTTTAAAGACATAACATACCAACTAAGACATTTTAGAAAAAAATCTCTGCTTGAAACGATGAAAAGTTGCAGATCTGATTTGTTCAAGTGTCCGATAGATGCTGCGATCACAGAGTATAATGCAACCATACTCTGAAATGTCACAGAATATAAGTATGTAAGAAGAATACAACCAAAAAATGTCAAACTTCGATAAAATGCGGCAGCTCAGACGTTGCTTGACTCTTCTCTTGCGTGAGTGCCTGACAAAAGATGGCTATTAAAGTTTTTTTCATTTCCATCAGCTTAGTCATTTACTGCCATTAACGGCCCATCACAATGTACTCACCTCTTAGACTAATAACTCTGGGGGAACACGATAAAAGGGCTTTTATTTTTGTCTTGTTTTTTCGCGACATGTCCATGCAGTTAGTCAGTGAGTCAAGGAGTCTGATAAAGAAGGTTTTTTCCCTTTCCTCAGAAGCCCCGCCCACTGCTCCCCACTTGACTTAACTTTGTCACATCTTGCCTGCCAGGTCTGTCTGAATCACATGTTGGCGCACCATTATTTGGCCTGTTGAATCACCGCGGTGCTTTACAGGAACTCCCATCGTTTCAACACATTTAAACATGAAAGGACCTTAACTGGGAGACTCACAATCTCTCAGTTATTCCAGTTTTGGGCAATCAGTAGTTCCGCGTCAATAACTGAGCGTCCCCTGCCACATTTCTGTCTCGCCTGACTGGAAACTGAAAGTCTGGCGCTTGATTTTGCATTCTTAAGCGGGCTGGCTGTTTGGACGTGCTGCGGTTTCAGCCGTGGCGTGCTGACAGGAGCGTGCGTTGCTCTTAGGCTTAAGGGCAGGTACTCATGGAGGTGACTTAATCACGAGGTATCAGCGGGGCTGAAATGGAGGGTGGAAGAGCAAACTGCCGCCTCGCAGTGTGCCGAAGATGTTTGCGCAGAGTTTTGGGGTTGAGTTTTGATGTGGAAACTTCTCCTGTGCCGAGATGTTTTTATAGCTGCAGATTAAAGAGGAACGCAGCTTAATATCAGACCTGAGACTTGTTATTTCTGAACTCGCAGACAGTCTGAGCTGTATTTGCATATGATCCCTCACGCCTTGTCATTTTGTGATTTGTTCCACAGTAAGAAACTGGAAAGTTCTCCTTTATTTTTACCTGCATAACAAAAACAAAAAAATAACTGCGTCTGGCTCTGTGGGACAAGAATGGAAAAAGAACAAATCCTCCAAGCTTGATGAGGAGAGCAAGACTGAACTGATACCAGGGAAAATAACTGTGTTGCTGTGTTGCGCATCAATGCTGATTTGAGTTGGAGCCCAAAAAACTTTAGGAGAACAAAAAGGCATCCAGTGAAAATCAACTGGCCTTAAAGGCGTCTGAACAGGGTTTTCTGAAAATATGTTTTCTACAGTCTTCTCTACAACAAACCACTTGAAAGATAGGCTTCTTTAAAATGGACTAACTTGAGAAATGCTATGAATTCTTATCGAGGTAATCAACTCTTACACCCTCACAAAGGTACAATGGAGGCCATTAATGACCGTACCTTTAAATAAATGTATTTAGACAGTAGAATGTGTAGCACTTAACAGTAGGTGTCGGAGATGTTTATGTGGGGAATATTGAATCGATACATTTCTACCTTTCTTTGCCCACAGGACAGATGGAGGACACAACTGTGTGGGACCAGACAAGTCCTACCGCTCCTGTAACATCCAGGTGAAACATCCACATGTTTTTCTCCTGATCTGTTCCCTATTTATGTCAGTGTGGTCAGTTAATGTGCCTCTAGAATAGACTTTTAAGCCTCATCCTGACGAATGAGGCAGAAACATTAATGTCTCAGTCTTGAAACGGGTCATGATTTTGCTGTGTCTGCGACTTTTCTGCGTCACGTCACCGGGCCACTCAGGACTGTCCGGAAGGATCCAGGGATTTCCGGGAGGAGCAGTGCGCTCAGTTCGACGGGACCGACTTCCAGGGCAAACGCTACAAGTGGCTTCCGTATTACGGAGGTCAGAAGTGCGCTCACACACACATACACACACTCTCATGCCTGTTGAATGGTGAACACGTGGCGGCCCTCGATGCCCACACACCAGCTCCAGTCGCTATAAATCATGGAGGGAAACCGGGAACTCTGAGTGGGATTTTTCCCCTGTGACGACATCCCCAACAGCTGCGATCTCTTACAACTTTTAAGTACTTAAAGTTGTAAAATAAAACTCATCTCTCCGACAGCTGAGAACCCCTGTGAGCTCAACTGCATGCCGAGAGGGGAGAGCTTTTACTACCGGCACCGCAGCGCTGTGGTCGATGGTACGCCCTGTCACCCGGGACGGAGGGATATTTGCGTGGATGGAGTTTGCAAGGTAGTTTTATGAGGAAAGTAACACAAAAAAAAACACACACACACACACACACATACAGACTCAACTAGAAGACCTGGATGGGGGTTTAAAAGGACACCTCTGCATCAATCGGAGATGAAGTTCCACTGAGTTTTATGGCTCATTTTAGCCCTGTGATTAACGGCTCATGCCAGAGGGGCATTTTAGCCTCTTACAGTAAGTGCTATGCTTTAAGTTCATATTTGTCATTTAAAAAAAAAAGATTTATACTTCTTTGGTTCTAACATGCAGCGGCTGTCAGACGAGTCCCTGATTATTTAACTTGGCCTCATGTAACGGCTGTGCTTGACCGGGATTTCTCAATGACTGGTGCTCATTTGGCGTGAATAATTCTAACAAGCAAACAAATCAAACGAGGTCCAGAGACATAAATTCTATCCTTTTTACGGACACAATTAAAGACACAGCAGTATTATCGCTTCAGTTCATACCAGCGCTGAGCTCCGGGTTCACGTTTCTGCTTTGTAAATAAAGCAGGACACAGTTAGAGGAGCTCATTGGCAGGATGAAGGATTTCACCATGAAAGCTTTTCTTCATAAAACACCTCGTCTGTTCGGCCCCCCGACATCACACCTCTGTCACCTCCTCAGCTGGGGGCTGCTCCTCTCAGGGCTTACAGCTTGGGTCCAGTCAGAAACTCCGCAGGACCATGGTGTTTTGACATTTTTCCACTGCTTTGGCAGTTAAACGCTTTGAGCGCTTAACTGTGCTTATAAATCATATGCAAAATTTAAAATGATCGAGAGCTGAAGTCCTTGGATCAAGCTGAGTTCAAAGCTCCTCGTCACATCTGCCATATAAATGTTTCAGAATCAGAATAGGACCACAAAATCCTCCGGCAACTTTTTTATTTTGTAGGACGTTGTCCCTCACATCCAATCAAAATGAAAGACATACACCAGGAATATATAATCAGAATTTGAATCTAGAGAGGATTAAGATTAGTTTGCTTTAAACAAACTAGTCAAGTAAACACATGCGAAGAATTTAACTAATTTAATGCCAAATCGGAAATAGTTTCTTCCAAAATTGTCACCAAAATACATCTGATGTAATTTAAACCACTTGTTACAGCAAATCAAAAATCTTCAGAGAAGTGTCTAAACTGGGAGTAATGTCCTATCTCAACAAGTGTTTTGTGTATTGATGCCAAGCTTTGTGCATGCAACTGGCAACTCTACGTAATACTCCGCAAGACTTAATATGGTTCTAGCTAACTTTGTCATTTCTTTGGGAAAGTATGAGTGATATATAGCATGGGGTGTCATTTGAATATGATTATCTTTAATGCTGTTTTTCCTTGTTTTTCCTGTCTGTTAGCGACTGGGCTGTGACAACATGCTGGAGTCTCCTCAGCATGAGGACCCCTGCCTGCAGTGCGGGGGCAACGGCCAGTCCTGCTACCTCGTCAAGAACAGCTTCACCGTGCGCAGCCTGCCAACCGGTATGAGGTTCTCCCTGCTTATTCAGGCTAAAGGGATAATGCAGCTCCCTTTCCACAGCAAAAGCTCGTCACTGGACTGAGTGGTTAGGGGAGGTAAAATGTCCCCGTACTGAGGGCCTACCACTGCTGGTGGTGGGCTCAGACGAGACGGTTTCCTCGCAAGCTGCAATCTTTTTATCCCTCAAGTTTTCGCGTCCGCTTTCTCCCGTCGAGGGTCGCTGGGTGGCCATTGTTATTGAGTTACTCTGCCTGTTGTGGAAATACAGGCAGCCTCTTCTTTTTTTGAACCCGTGCCAGGTTCTTTAGCCCCCTTTCTTTGTCCTCCATTCTCTTCCCAGGCTACAACCAGATGTTCATCATCCCTGTTGGAGCCACCACCATCAGCATCAGAGAGACGGTTCCCACACGCAACTACCTTGGTGAGTTTGTGTTTGACTCAGTCCGAATCAAATGTGCCGGAATTCGTCGGGAGCAGCTTTCCTGTTGGCGGCTGGACGTAATTCTGTTGCCCTAAAACAAGTTTAACTGTGTATGATCAGCGGTCAAGAACCTGCGCGGAGAGTACTATCTCAATGGCCATTGGGTAATTGAGTTTTCAAGGGCGACACCCATTGGTGGCACCATGCTCTACTACCAGCGAGGCGCTGAGGGGGAAAACATCCCAGAGACCATCATTGGCCGCGGTCCCACCACTGAGCCACTTGTTGTTGAGGTAAGCTGCCACCAAAACAGAGGTCTTTTTCGTAAACAAAATGAAGAAAATGGAAGATGGTACTTCCAACACTCAACTTGAGTGGATTTTTTAAAGCAAGTTCCACTAAATGAAACCTACCGACAACTCTAAGGTCTAACACTGAGGAGACGTAGTCGAGAAATGGCAGAGTTCATGACCAGTAATGTTTGTGTTCTCCTCAATCCTCTCAGCTGATCAGCCAAGAGCCTAACCAGGGAGTGGAGTATGAATACTACCTTCCTAACGGACGCTCCAGAGAGGGCTACTACTGGAGCTACGGGTCGTGGTCCGCTTGCAGCACAGAATGCGGATCAGGTCAGACTGCAATCCTCCATTTTTTATTATTCGCCGCCTTTCCGAAAGGGGGTGACCGAGGGATCCATGTCGTCACCAGGCTACCAGTCTCGCTTGGTGTTCTGCACCATTGACAACGAGGCCTATCCCGACTACCTCTGCTCGTCCCTGCCGAGGCCACAGTCCAACCGCACGTGCAACCCCCACCCATGCCCACAAATCCACAGGTACACAGTGCAAAAAGAATTTGCCAGATTAACATTGGGCTACGTTTTGGTACCAGCGCTCATTCCAGAGTGAGTTGTTCCATTTGAAGCTGTTTGATTGCTATTGGTGTGTTATGTCTGAAAGGATGGCGTACCTATATCCACCACAGTTGTGGAGATCCCCAAAGAGGCCCAGAGCCTGTGTGGTCAGGTAATCATGGGTCTGTGCTCGTAGCGAAGTTTTAGTTCAAAATCAAACAAGTCGCCGGTATTTGTGCACAATTCCGGAGAATTCTTAACTTTATTAGCCACCGACTTGCGTTCATATTGACATATGGATAACTCTGTATTAGCTACAGTCTCTAGCAAGTACCGATGAGCCAAAAACTAAGGCAAGTCCCAATCTCTCCCCAACCCATCAGCTGTGTTTATGAGCACAAAGATATGAGGCAGCTGTCCAGCTCAGAGATCTCCTTTTAGCCTGTTAACTCTGCTCACCACACCTGGATGTCCTTAACATTTCTTCGTAGCGAACCTCACCTTTTCCTTCTATAAACCCCTAGTCTGTGGCCCCTGTACTTGTTTGCTGAGCAGGATGGCTGTTTTGATATCTTCTGCTGGCAATGCCTCCATCTACATCCATTAGTGCAGCAGTTCGCTTTGAGATGTTTGTGGGCTAAAGGCTGTCATGCTGGGAAGTGCCAGGAATTGGGTCACGGCAGCAGGAGCATTGTAGTAGATAGCAACTCGCTGTCTGCTTCCAGAGATGCTGAATGAACAAACCTTATTTGAACAAATACCCAATCAAAGATGAGACTTGGAAGCTGAACTTGGGGCAGAGATTTGCTCATCGTAGTTTTCAGTACGTCGGCTCTGCAGTTTGGCCCTGCTTCTAGTGGAAAGTTTGTCCCTTTGTGCGCTTCTGTTTGTCAAGTAGTTTAGTTGCTTTTTAGTTTCTTTGTGAAACAATAATAACTTAGTGATTTATTTCTGTGTGTGTGTGTGTGTTCTGTTATCAAGGGTTTCATTTCAAAACTATTTTAGGTGTCTAAGAATGCAAATTTTCATGTTTTACATATCAAGACACGATTATGAAAAATGATCTTGTCTTTAGCTGGTCTTAAAAATGAGGTAAATACACCCTCTAATGAGTCAGTAAAATAAGCCCAGATATTGATTAGGCTCACTCCTCTTAAATGTTTCTCAATTTCAGTCAGGTTTGTAGTTTATGGAGTTTATGTACAACTCGCTTAATTTCCCCTCACACTATTTTAACCAGGTTGTGGTGTATAGTTGAAAGTGAACTATTTCAAATCCTTTAAAGTGTTCATCAGAAGTTGTAATTTACACTATTTGACACCCAGAAGGGTCCACGTTTTAAAGAAGAGAGTGACCCGTTGTGTTTAAGAATTAGCTTTCATTAGTATTTATCTGTATGGTTTTTATTTCTTTATATTATTGACAAAGGAATTTAAAAGAATTCATTCAGTTGAATAGCAATAGCTGTGATAAGGAAAACAAATTGTGTGACTTTGTCTTAAGTTTGTGATTTTCCAAGGAATTTTAAAACACTGTGTGTTTAACCAAAAGCAGCTTCTGATGCCTCAAATTAGAAAAGTAATTAGATCCAAAGAAAAATGTACATCAATGTATGGATGAGGGGATTCAGGCTGAAAAATGCTACCTGTATTTGTCCTTGTTTTGTAATGAAACCCCTTCCATCAGTAGTCTCTTTTTCTAACATTGTTCTAACATAGTTGATCATGTAGCATCTCATCAGAAAGAGACTGACTCCTGCTAACTGCTCTTCTTCCTTCTTGGTTTGGCTCCAAGCTGGAAAACCGGGGAGTGGAATACCTGCTCGGTCACCTGTGGCGGAGGCTCTCAGGTGCGCAACGTGCAGTGCGTTTCCCATGATGCCTCGGGCTCGCGCGTGGTGGAGGACGCCGTTTGCGCGGCGTACTCCCAGGCCCCGCCCTCTCTGCAGACCTGCAACATGCACAAGTGCGCCGAGTACCGTGCGACTGGGTGGAGCGCGGTGAGTAACCTGTCGGTCTGAGCCGATGGCTGAGGTTCGTCATCTTAAATCTGGGCGTTTCGCAGTGCTCGGCCACCTGCGGTTTGGGTGAGCAGACCAGAGAGGTGACCTGTGTGGGAACGGGCGGCATGATGCTGGAGGAATCATCCTGCAGCACCCTGCTGCGCCCGTCCGTGGTCCAGCCCTGCGAGATGCCCGCCTGCCCCAGACAGATCCGCTGGCACATGGGCGAGTGGGGCCTGGTGAGATATCGCCGCATAGTGTCTGCCTTTATTCACGCTTTCGTACCTAAACGCGCCCGCTCGGAAAAGAAAAGCGTCAGCCTGGTTAAATTCTCTTGTTTCGCAGTGCTCCAAGAGCTGTGGCTCCGGCACGCGGGAGCGCCAGGTGATCTGCTCGGATCGGGAGAGGAACCTGTACCCTGTGAGCCGGTGCAACACGCACCCCAAACCCTCCACAGTGGAGCGCTGCAACACCCAGCCCTGCAACAGTCCACAGGGTGAGCACAAAAATACACGTCTTTGCGAGGCAATTTTTGTTATTATTGTCGACCCCATTTTTTGCCATCCAGCATGTAAAGTGATATTACATTTTATAGACTTAAGAAAAGCTAGATGTCGCTGTGCTGGATTGTTCTTTTATTTGAGTGATTGCACTTCTGTGTATAGTCATTTTCCGGTAAATGAATTAGTCACCAATTCATATTTCCTGTGACTTGGAAGTGCATTGTGGATGTATACCAACGTACCAGAAAAGAGGACTGACATAGTGGCTGAGTAGTGTGTGATGCTGACCATCCAGACTTGGTCTCCATCAAGGCCAGCAGAAGGGCACATAGTTTGATTTTTTACTGTTTTATCCTGGGTAACATTTTCTTTGGCTCCACTTCTCATGGTGGGATTAGAAATCCCTCTATGAAAACATAAGATTTCTAGATGAAAAAAACACTAGTACTAGTACTAGTACAGGTACTAGTACTTACACTGTACTATATTTTACCAGTCTAGTCCCCACTTAACAACATTTTCGAGGCACATTTGCTGGTCATCATTTCACTTTCTACAACAGAGTAGAAAAGTAGAAATACACCATTAGTTTAGAGCCACTACAAACACACCTGGAACCTGCTGTACATTTACTTATTATCTGTATTCATTCCTGTATTATTATAATTCATCATATCATTCATCCTTATTCCATGATAATTCCTTGCATTGTTTTTTGTTTACAGTTGTCCCCAGCGTTCAAGACCCACGAGGACATGACAACACTCAGACCGGCTTTCTGCCTTATGTGCCAGATCACGCAACAGGTTAGATTCCATCTTTACTGTCTCTCCCTTACATACTGTATGCCTCAGTAGAAACTAAGGATACTTTTTCTGTAAAGTACAGTAAAAAAACAAACTGTACTAATTAAGAAAAACTGACCCCAAACCTAAACCTAACCCCATGCTGTAATGTGATGCTTTTTTTCCCTCCATCCCTCTCATCTCTCCTCATGTAATTCCTGTCACTTTGTCCCCCTTCAGTCCCCCATCCCTTTCCATCCCCACCCACCCCATCCCGGCTCTAATTATCAGGGCCTGATTGACATATTTTCATGGTTCAGTTGGCATTGTTGGCCTGATTAAAATATTTCCGAAGCACTGAACTGTGTGTGGCTGTGGTGTTCCTGGCATTCTCAGCTTCATGTGCTGTCCCAGTGCTCAGGAATGTCCAGCTTGACATAGTTCCCCCCCCCCCCCGCTTTATTACCTGTAAGATTTATTGGGATCTCTAAAACTAAGCAAACACTTTGAACGTACCAAGAAACGGTACGGCTTTACGGATTCTCCCCCTGCTTGGTTGTGCCCCTCAGTCCGCAGGCCAGAAATAAGAGTCCCGACTCAGACCAACACAGTCCACGACCCACACGTCTCCGCCCCGGCGCTCCACTGTAGCCAGTCTTATTATGGCTGCTGCCCAGATGGACGCACTACATCCCAGGGCCCCCGCGGTCTGGGCTGCCCGCAGGATCCAGCTCCCACTCCTGCGCAGTCGTCCTGCCTTCAGACCAGGTATTCCCCAACCTGTCATTGCGCTGCGGTTTTAGGTTACAACGGCTGCCCTTTCGCAGTCCTGCGGGTGTCTCTCGAGAGCACGACAACCACACGTTACACATGAGCGGAATAGTTCCCGCTGACCGTGTTTAGGCTGCGGTTTTCCCTAGAAAATGTGGGGTTTTTCACACGTTTGTTATCTTTGGCTCAAACTGTTTGTGCAGGCTTAAATTGTTTTTTCTTGTGTTAGTTATGGCTGCTGCAGTGATGGTGTGACGGCTGCTCACGGTGTCAACAAAGAGGGCTGTGCTGAGTACGTGGCCCCTGAACCCACGGTAAGCAAAATGCGCATGAAATTCTTACAGTTTTTCCTACGTTTGCAGCACAAGACACTGTTTCTTTGAGGGGGTTGTGAAAGCAAGAATTGAATGCATTTGTATGATATCTGGTTTGACTTGAAAATTCCCCCCGCAGCTTTTATTCTTCAAAGCATAGTATTAAAAAAGGAAGAAGCTGTCCTCGCTGTCCTAAACGTGCACGAGGAATGACCGCCTCGTTCAGTGCTCGGGTATCTGTGTGAATCTGGCAGCTCGCATGTGCAATGTTCTCCAGCTATGAATACACACTGCAATCACCCAATGACAGAGCCTGTTCGGATGGCGCCCGCTTGTGCTCCGGTTTTAGCAGAACTTGCCCATTTTTTCCTGACCCAGCAAAAGTAGGGTGAGAAAGTCACTTTAGATCAGGGAGTAAGTGGCGGAGTGGTGGCTGAGATTGTTCGCAGCTGTGTTGGCCCTAGCAAAGGTTTGTTGAGCAGGCGGCTTGACTGCAGGTATTACGAATTGGACCGGAAAAGAAGGGTGACACCTCTGAAAAGTAAACTTAACAGTTGAATACGTTTGAATAAGATTGAATAGGATTGTCCCCATATAAACTGAATCCACTTTTGTTGTGGTTTAACACTTTAGACATGAAGGCTCAGAAAGGATTCAGTGAATCCCATCACAGTCCTAAACACATCGTCAACACAACAAGAACACACATAAGTTAGCTTCTCCTATAGTTTAAACTAGCTTTATTTCTGAGCTTGGCCGCTTTCCACTGTGACAACTTGTTTGGAGGGCTGGTACAGTCCATTTAAAGAGGGAATTCTTTGATTATATATGCTGCCTAACTTTTCCGGTTTGAGACTGACAGCCACTCTCTTAAAATCTTAACCACACAAAAGTGCCGATTGCACATAAAGGGAGCGATGACCTAAGTATAAAGAGCGAACCAATTGTAAAAACATCTTCTTCTTCTGCCTCCTCAGGTATCTCCACTTCCAACTGAGAACGCCGTGCAGTGCCGCACCACTACCTACGGGTGCTGCTACGACCGGACCACGCCTGCAGGAGGACCCAATGGAGAGGGCTGCCCCAACCCTCCCAACCACAGTAAGACGCCGAGCAACTGATAATAATCTATGGCGCTTTAATGACCGGCTTTTGCATTCTCGTGTGTGTCTAACATTCACTTTCAGTCCTCGAGATTCCGCTGATGTTTGATTCCTTTTCAGTGCTTCCTTTTGGGTCAGTGTAGAAAATCAACTTTAAGAGACTAAGGGGGAAATAACATTAGAGGAGAAGAAGTGTGGCATAGCGTGTGGTGACATGCATGGAGCATTGCTGCTCGGATACAAACCAGGTTCATCATTTCCCCACAGGCTGGATGGAGGCTTCCAAGATTTTTCACATTCTAATTTCATTAGACGATGAAGATGAATTCCTGCCCCGTCAATCACCGCAAAGCTCTGCTGTGCATGGCTAAAGCTTGAAATGAGATTAGTGGTAAAAAAAAAAAAAAAAACTGGTAGATTAGTGGTAGATTTGAATAATTACAACGAAAAAAATTGTGTTTCTCTGCTGCAGTCGAGCGCTCGATCTGCTCCCTGCCCCGGGCGGCCGGCTCCTGCAGCAGCTGGATATCCCGCTACCACTTCGACGTCGTGGCCTCCAAGTGCAGGCAATTTTGGTACGGGAGCTGCCACGGCAACAGCAACAACTTCATGACACTGGCGGAGTGCCAGCGGGCGTGCCGGGTGCCTGCGCCCGACCGGCAGCGGCCCCAGCAGGGGGCTCCCACCAGAGAATCCCCCCCAAGGAGGGCCTCGTCCGGGGGAGAATCCAGGGCCGGCTCACACAACATGGGGAGGGTTTTCACGGTGCAGGGCGGCTCGCCCGGCGGCGCCGCCGGCAGACAGGGCACCAGCGCGGCCACCAACGCCCACAGAGGCCGGGTGTACCTGCGGGGACGCCTGCCCCCCTCCGCCGCCGCCCAGCACACCGGGCCGGCCGCCAGGTAAGACCCCCGAGACCCGGGGACCGCTCACCCAGTGATACAGTCTCAGCTCCATTCACCATGCCGCCTACGGCCGTCCCAACCCCGCCGACGGAGCCCCTATTTACTCGGCCCTGTAAACCCCCAACAGTGATCATGAGGAGATTGGAAAGCCATCCAGAGCTTCCCCATACGCGTCAAACACTCATTCAGGGAACCATGTGCAAATATTCCAGATATTACACCTTTAAACCAACCAGATGCAGAATGAAGAGTAGTTAAAAAATGTCAACTCTAAGAGTAACTAACGAAGCATCTGTAAATGTAAAATGCAGGAGTAGGGATTTCAAAAAGAGCCGATTTAAAGAATGACTCAGCACCTCAGGTGGAACAAAGCATATTTTTTCTAACTACACCCGGCCTCACCCTTGAGTAGATTGGGCTGCGGTTAGATGTACAATTGTCCTTAAACGCCCCATTTTTTTTGGAAACCTATTCTCGCGCAGACTCATTCATGTGATACTAATGTGATCTAAACACGGGCTTGCAGCTGCTTTTAGCCCCGCAGACTCTCGCACCAGTCCATTCAGGAACACCTTGTTTCTGATCTTAATCTCGCCGAAAATATCAGGGAAGAATTTTGCCGCAAACCTAAAAATGGACCGCGCCTCGTCCAAGTGCTCGTTGGACTCTTTTGTGAATGTTGGTGCTTTTTCCATGCCTGCTAACTCACTTTGTGGGTCATCGCCTTTGGGCTCAGTGTCTCCATCCAGATGTCATTAAATCAAACTAATAAAGCTCCTGCTGTGATACTGTCATCATGTGTGTCTCGTCACTTAACCCTTTTTCACCTCACGTTTCTAGAGTGTGGGTAATTTATGTCTTAATCTTAGATGTCTTTGGGCACGTTTGGGAGTTTTGTTCGAGTTTGTTGTCCAATGTTGTCTTGTGTGTCATCACCACCCATTGCTTTTAACATTTTGGTGAGGGTTGCATTGTTTGGTGTCTTTTTATGTCGCATTGCTCTCTTGTGCGGATATTCTTCCTCTGTTTTCCCTTCCTCAACTTTTTCTAATGTACTCTCCAAGCCAGGTTGAGGGTAGTCTTTATGCTTGCTTTGGTGACCAATAGTAGAGCATAAAGTGACTTTCATTCTCCTTTTTCCTTCAAATCATTCTTTCTGTCAACATTCTCTCTTATTCTTTATTCTGTCTTGGTTTCTCCCCCCACATTTCTATCTGTCTTCTTTCCCTGTGTCCCCTCCTGTTTCCTCAGCCTGACCCTGGGAGGGGTTTCCATCGATAAAAGCGACCCGGACAGAGTGGAGGCTTTGGTCGGCCAGAGGGTCGTGCTGCCCTGCAGGGTCAGCCCCCCACCCTCGTCCACCGTCATAGTGGAGTGGAGAAGAGATGGCGTTGCTCTGTCACCCCAGAGGTCAGCAAAAACATGTGGTTTGCTCACGATGGCCAGCTTAGGCTAATTTTTTATCTGTGTCCTCCTCAGGCATCACCAGCAGCCCAATGGCTCCCTGTTAGTCGGCCCCCTTAATAAGTCGGACTCCGGCTGGTTCTTGTGCCTGGCCACTCGAGATCGAGAGCGAGATCATCGTTACATTTACCTCTCCGTCTCGGGTAAATGTCCGATTACTTTTACGCAACAGATTTAGTTAGATGAAAATGAATAGGAATAGCCTCTAGAAATACTTTTCTATTTAGTTTGACAATTCTTTATCTTTGTGTTCTGGATGCATTCGCAGAGGGACCATCTAACCCAATTCCTACCACTCTGCCCAAAGATGGACCGTTCCAAAGGTAACAATTTGCTCAAAATCATTGTATTCAGGCTGTGAAAGAAGAAACAAATCACATTAATTAGCTTTTGCTATTTGCTCTTTCTCTTAGGTTTAGCATCGAACGCTCAGGCTCATCCGTGATGGAAATGCGATCGGGACAAACTGCCAGGCTGCCTTGCACCATCGTCCCCCCCTCAGCTCTGCCCTCTGTCAGCATTCAGTGGACTAAAGACGGGCAGCCCCTCAGTGACTCAAGGTAAACACTGTCCTGATCTCTGGTGCCATGCTGTGCGCAGGTCTGAGATCATTGTATGTGTCCTTGTTGTGTCCACTTTGGTTTTCTGAGTATGTTTCTTACTGTGCTTTTTAAAAAAAAAAAAAGAAAAGATGCCGAAACATAAAGACAAACATACACATTAAACCAATCATAACATGTAAGAAACAGAAAAAAACAAAAAAAAAACAAGAAGAAGAATCATTACCGCTGAGGTATAAAAGAGAACGGTTTAAACAGAGATGGGTCCTGGGATCTGAAAAGCTGTTGGCTGACCTCATTAACTCAGTGGGAGACTGTTCCACCTCCATGGACCTTTGAGCAGCAAACTCTCAGTCCCCTCCTGCTCAGTCAAGACTGAGGTGTAACAAGGGGGCCCTGTTAAGGATTGAGGGCAATAACAGCTCACTGGTATGTTCTGGAGGCATGTTGTGCAGCACCTCATAGATAAAGAGGAGGGTTCTGTACTCAGTTTTGTTCCATTGCAGTGACATGAAAACCAGGGTAACAATTTGGGATTTGGGTGAGCAGATTCACAGAAAACTGTCAGAGCTGCTGTAAAACCATAAATAAAGTGTGCTGAAGTAGTTTTAGTAGGAAAATACAAACACCAAGATTACCAAGATGCACTAAAGATTGTATGGGGTGTTTTCAGATGTAAAAGACAACTACATTTTAAGAAATAAGTAAACATAGCTGTATGTTAACAGTCTTCTATGCTATAAAAAGATGACAAAAATTATATGGGTCCAAGCACTGATCCCTGAGGCACGCCACAGTTTAAGAGTGCAACAGAAAGTGCACAATCAGTGGTTGGTTAGATTTGTGTCTACTTCTATTAATTTATTGTAATTACTCTTGTGCCCAAATAAAGAAAAAATAAGGATCTGCTTAATGATCACACAAATGACAACATTTCAGTTGTAAAGCAAACTCCTGGTGTGTTTCAGGGTTACGCACCATTCAGATGGCACCCTGATCATCGGCCCACTGCGGTCAGATGACACCGGTGTCTACACGTGCACAGTTTCCAGTCAGCAACAGGTCGAGCAGAGACAGCTACAACTCAGAGTCCAAGGTGACCTATATCCTACGCTTTTTACCAAACTATGAAAGAAATCCCAACCACCGAGTGTTGTTCCAGTTGTTTGTAATTGTGATTCCACATACACACCAGCAGGGGGGAGTAAAAGTTACTGAGAACCAGTTGATGTGAAATAAAGCGTTAAAGACATGACTGAATATCACTAAAATGAATGAGATAGTCACCCCCCCCTAACAACATCCATCATCAGAATCAATAGTTTTAGCAGCATTAACAATATTTTCTTCTGATTTTCCTGTTCAGCGGACCTGCAGATTACTACGGCTCCTAACAACATCCAGGTGTCAGAGGGAAGCACAGCTCTGCTGCCCTGTGTGGTGTCGGGAGACAACGTCAACATCGGCTGGTCCAGGTAAAAGTCGAATCTAGTTGTTGGACCAAATATATGGTTTTGGTTTGAGGTTCAAATGATTATTACACACAATCTTGCCATGAACATTTTAATGGAGGTTGAGAGTGCAATAGATGATGTGTGTGTACATACTTATCTATGCATATCATATGTCTGTATATATTTATATATTCAAAAGGAGCTTATAATTAGATTTTTTTAACATATTTTCCTATTTTTTTATTCCTCAGAACAAGTAGTATTAGGAGAGGTTTACTTTTTATTACACACAACACAATCCCAGCAAGCCTCAGAGGGGGGAACCAAACATTTTTTCCCCCCTCTCGTCCTCTCCAACAATAGGAACGGCGTACCGGTGCGTCCAGACGGACGCGACGTCGTCATGTCATCCGATGGCAGCTTGATCATAAACAATGTGAAGACCTCCGATGAGGGCACCTACACCTGTAACGCTTACACAGGCATCTACTCGGTGAGCGCCACGGCCGAGGTGAAGGTCATCACCGACACACAAACAGGTGAGAGCCCAGGGAAGTCATCACAACCTGTTATGGACCTGTTTAGGTTCACCTGGATAACTTCATCACAAGGGTATTGAGTCAAAAGCTGATTTTAGTTCATATATCACGTAAAATGATGAGCTAGAGGACAAAAATCACAAATAAATGCTGACTCTGAAATGAAAATCTCTGGACTCTCTGTGCCAGGTGTGGATGTGCTGCCAGATTGTGTGGACCAGCCCGAGCTTGCAAACTGCAAGCTAATAGTCTACGCCCGACTTTGCTCCAACCAGTACTATTCCAGTTTCTGCTGCGCCAGCTGCGCCACTTATTCACAGAAGAACGACAAGCTGAGATGGCTGGGCTGAGGCCCGGGAGGGAGGAACGGCTTTGGAGGACGGCCCGTGGAGGGGTGAGAGCGTTAGCGGCGCACAGGAGCTCTGTGAGACGCTCCCGTTTAGAAGCCCTCGCCTTCAGACTCAACAGATTTGCTGCATTTGGAAAAAATAAGGCCTCAGAATCCAGCAACATACATCGCATTTTGAAAAACGGACTCATTGCTGTAGATATCGTCAAACCTGTGAACAAGCAAGCACTTGGTTTAGGGAGGGGGGTGCATTAAACACACAGGAAAGAAACCATCAAACCTTTTAAGCACGGCTTGCAAACCTGAGAGCTCTGAATGCGATGAGACGAGGAAAATAAGTTATTTACTCACTGGACCTACATGTTCTCTGTTTTTTTGAGAATCAGGATGATTTACCTGCCAGGAAGTTAAAACCATGTAACTCGGTTTTTTGCCTTTCTGCTGTGATCACGTCTCCTTTTTGATGTAACACGCAAGCTGTTTCACTTGTCTTTAAAGAAGATTTCATATGGTTTATTTTTTATGTAATAATTTGATAATAAAAAGGATATTTTGCTAAAAAAACAACAACAAAAAAACAAACTGCGTTGGTCTCAGTTAATGTTCCAGTTGGCGCCACTGGGGGTCACTCAGTATGTCTGATTAGATTTGAATCTTTTAGGATGGATATGTATTTTGTTTCCAAAAAGATGCTGAGCTTTGTGTCTGCTGAGAACTAATTAGGTATAATTATAGACGACACAGCAGTCACACATTTATTTTAATTATGGTTTCTCATTGTGGCACCAGAGCGTGCCAGTCCAGTTGCACTGTTTTTGCCTCCTCTGGTCGGACTTTTTCAGCAGTGCTTTATATTTTTAAACATGAATATGAAAAGAACTGCATCAGTATAGAGAGAAGATTCACAAAGAGAAAATAAACCTGTTTAAAGTCAGATTTTTATCTCTATTTGAAAACTCTTTAATTTCTATGCCCTGAAGCTTTTGTCCACATTCATTTTCCAATATGGGTTGAAAATATGTTTTAAAAAAAAGAAAAACATACGTTACAAAATCAAAACATTTTTTCTTCTCATCCAAGCCATAATTGTTTAAATACAACTCATAAACTCTTATGAAATCAAAAGCTATTTTTGGTGTTTCCTGAGAGCGACTCTCATTTAAAATGTTTTGGCTGAATAACCGGCTGTTTGACAATTAAGGAAAATTCCTCTAAGAGAACATTATAGTTTACATTAGCACTGACAGTATACT